TAATGCTCCCATGTGGCCCATCTGGTATGCTCCCTCTATGTGCCCTTCCCGCCATGTTGCTCACTCTCGGTCGAGTCTGCTGGTTTCTCTGTCGCGTTGACCCCTACTTTCTCAGAGGGTGGTGGAGTCGTCGGAGGGATTGGCTCTCTTTCCCATCATACGCAATCCTTTGCTCTGCTTCACCTGGATTCCTCCTCCTTCCTTTCTCTCCCTCTCCTCTGCTCCTCACTTCATTCTCCCGATTGTTTCTTCCCCCCCTTTTCCTTCGATCTCGTTCCCGATCCCCCTCAGTTTGTGGTCCCCACATCCATGTCAGCAGTCTACCAGGGCGAGACGGACAGCGACTATACGCCCCAGGCCTCTGCTTCTCACTGAACTTAAAACCCCAATCATGACTGGCAAGCGGGAAGTGCGAGCGCAGGTGTTGAGTGAAGAGTGAGTGAGAGAATGATAGGTGGCTGGCCTGGGCGTTCTCTCAACTAATTGAAGCTGCATAGGCGAGGTTGTCAACTTATACATATTATCTATGTAGAAGTTATAGGCTAGACTGAGGTATGCTTCTAGTGAGTACAACCAACTAGTATTTGTTCTAGGTTTCCACCTCTAGTAATCATTCGTTTCTACGTTAACATGGTATCACGCTTAGGTTAGGATCCCCCCGCCTACCGCTTCCGCCCGTCGCGCCTCCTAGGCCCCGTCGCGCCCCCTAGGCCCCGTCGCGCCCCCCCTGGGCCCCGTCGCGCTCGTTAGGCCCCGTCGCGCCCCCCCTGGGCCCCGTCGTGCCCGCTGGGCCCCGTCGCGCCTCCTAGGCACCGTCGCGCTCCCCCTAGGCCCCGTCGCGCCCGCTGGGTCCCGTCGCGACCCCTAGGCCCTAACGCGCCCCCGCTGGGCCCCGTTGCGCCTCCTAGGCCCCGTCGCGCCCCCCATGGGCCCCGTCGAGCCCGCTGAGCCCCGTCGTGCCTCCTAGGCATCGTCGCGCCTCCTAAGCCCCGTCGCGTCCCCCCCCTCTGGGCTCCGTCGCGCCCGTTCGGCCCCGTCGCGCCCCTCCTAGGCCCCGTCGCGCCCGCTGGGCCCCTTCGCGCTTCCTGGGCCCCGTCGCGCCTGCTAGGCCCCGTCGCGCCCCCCCTGGGCCCCGTCGCGCCCGTTAGGCCCCGTCGCGGCCCCCCTGGGCCCCGTCGTGCCCGCTGGTCCCCGTCGCGCCTCCTCGGCCCCGTCGCGCCCCCCCTGGGCCCCGTCGTGCCCGCTGGGCCCCGTCGCGCCCCTTAGGCCCCGTCACGCCCGCTGGCCCCTGTCGCGCCTGCTGTTAGCGCTCGCCCGCCTGGCCTCCTCCTAGTGCCGCTCGGCCTCCTCCTAGTGCCGCCCGGCCTCCTCCTAGTGCCGCCCGGCCCCTTCCTAGCGCCGCCCGGCCTCTCCTCAGCGCTGCCCGGCCCCTCCTCGTGCCCGACCGGCCCCAGCAGCACCAGCCTGGCCCCTCCCAGCACCAGCCCGGCCCCAGAGCACCTGCCCGCCTCCCCTGCTCGGCCTGCCGTGTCCTCTCGGGCCCTGTGTCTTCTGCTTGCCTGCGCTGGGACGCCTAGCTGCTGCCCTACTGGAGAGTGCTGCCGCCGTGTCCCCGCGCCGCTGTGCTCCTGTGCCGCTGAGGAGCTGTGCTGCTGTGCCGCTGTGTCGCTGAGGAGCTGTGCCGCTGACCCTGCACGATGGCTGACTTTGTGCTCCGCCTGGACGCTGAGGGCCACGCGGTTGACTTCGCCGCCTGGCTCTCCGATCTTCGCCGCCAGCTTACAGGTCAGCGCCAGGATGGCCACTCTCTGGTTGTCCATGCTGATGGCTTGCTCCCCCGTCCCCCTGCACCTACTCCCCTCCCTGCTGACCCCTCCTCTGATGACTGTGAGGCTTTCTCTACTGCTGCGCTGGCCTGTGCGATCTGGGACTCACGCGATGCAGTAGCTCAGGTTGCTATTAGTCACGCCCTCCCTGTGTCTGAGCACTCGCGTTTTGCTACTGTTGAAACGGCCAAAGCTTATTTAGACGCCGTTATTGCTCGCTATTCCACCCCTGCCTCCGCTTCTGCTGGCCGCTTGCTCTTTCCGATGCTGTTCCCAGACCTGGCTGCCTTCCCTACTGTCGCAGATTTTGCCACTCATTTGCGTGCCCTAGAGACTCGCTATCGCACTGCCAGCACTGCTGCCCAGCTCACTGCGCTCCCCCCTCCCTTCTGCATGACGCTCTATTTTATCGCTATGCGCCTGCCAGACCGCCTCGCTAGTGCTCGCGACCACTTTCTTAGCCAGCACCCGGGTGACCTCACCCTGACCGCCTTTGTTGACACCCTCACTGAGATCGAGACTCGCCAGCGCACTATCGCTCAGTCGAGCGGTGCGCCGCCAGTCTCTATCTTTCACGGCTGTGCCCCATCCCCGTGCACGTTCACTGACGTTTCGGCTGCGGTCGCCACGGCGACCCCTCTTACCGAGACGGCTGCTGCTGTCCACCCGCAGCAGCGCTCGCGTCGCGGTGGCCGTGGCCGCCAGGGAGGTAGGGGTGGTGACGCAGGTGGTAGTGGTCGTGGTGGTGGTGACGGTAGTCCGCCTGAGGGGACTACCACCGGTGGGCAGGAGCAGCAGTCCCAGCAGCAGCAGGACCAGCCCCAGCCGCAGCCGCCGTCCCAGCAGCACCCGCCGCAGCCGTGGGCTCGTCTCCCGCCTGGTTGGCCCGGCACCTCCGGAGGCGGTGGCCGTGGTGGCGGCCCGCGCAGCTTGGCGTCTACCAGCGGCTCCAGTGCTGTGACCTGCCAGTACCAGCTTCAGACCGGGCCTCTCCGCGGCACTCTGTGCCGCCGCCCGCACCCGACCGCCCGCTGTTTCCGCCGCCTCGACGATCTTTTTCGTCGTCGCTTTGGCCCGGCCCCGGACCTCCCTGACTGGCACAGCCTGCTCCGCCAGGGCGTGCCGATCTTTGAGTTAGACATGGATCAGATAGGTGCTGCTTTGCATGCTTTGTATGCTGACGCTTCTAGTGTTGATGGATCTTACTACCCTGTGTACTCTAGTTTAGGTGTTTCACCCTTGTGTAGCTTAGCTTCCCCTGCTGCGACAGGCGTAGGACTGCCTAGGTTGCCTAGTCTAGTCGCTGCACCGGCTCCGTCCCCGGCCCCCGCCACTGCGTCGCTGTCCTTCACTCTCGACTCTGGTGCTTCTGCCTGCTTCTTCCGCGACCGTTCCACGCTCACGCCGCTTGCTGCACCTGCTGTTGTCTCTCTCGCTGACCCCTCTGCGGGTCCGGTCGTCGCGCGCAGTTCTACGTCCCTTCCCTGTCCGGCAGTTCCCTCGGGCTCCCTTACTGGCCTCCACGTTCCCTCGTTCTCCAGGAACCTGGTTGGTGTCGGCTGTCTCCAGGGCCTCGGCGTCACCACCACGTTCCCCGGGCACGAGCGGTTCGCTGTCTGTTCTGAGGCTGTCTCAGGTTCCCCCCTTGCGACGTTCCCCCGGGACCCGGTGTCCGGTCTGTTTACCCTACACACCGCTTCCCCCCCGGTTGGTGCGTCCTCCCAGGTCGCTGCAGCTTGCTCGTGTCGCTCCCTCACTCACCCCTCCCTTCTCTGGCACCACCGCTTAGGTCACCCTGCTCTCCCGCGTCTGCGTCACATGTCCCAGCACGGTCTTGTCTTAGGTCTCCCCGCGTCGCTCCCTGCCCTTCCTCCCTCGACTGCGCCACCGTGCACGCCTTGCGTCGAGGGTCGGCTCCGCCGTGCTCCTCACTCCTCCTCGCTGCGTCCTGCTACTGCCCCCCTTCAGACCCTGCACTTGGACGTTTGGGGCCCTGCCCCCGTCCCCGGACCGCGCGGTGAGCGCTACTTCCTTGTGCTTGTCGACGACTACACGCGCTACACCACGGTGTTTCCCCTGGAGCGGAAGGCCGACGTGCCCGACGTTCTTCTCCCGTGGGTTGTGGCTGCGCGTCTCCACCGCGGTCTCCCCGTGTTGTGTCTCCACTCCGACCGTGGCGGCGAGTTCGCCTCTGGTCGGCTTGGACAGTTCTGTCGTGCGGAGGGCATCACCCAGTCGTACACGATGCCGGACTCGCCACAGCAGAATGGGGTTGCTGAGCGCCGCATCGGCTTGGTCATGGAGGTCGCCCGTACCTCCATGATCCATGCCGATGCCCCCCATTTTCTGTGGCCGTTCGCTGTTCGCTACGCGGCTCACCAGCTTAACCTGTGGCCACGCTCCCAGCGGCCGCAGGTTTCGCCGACCCTCCTTTGGACCGGGTCCCCCGGTGACGCGTCTGCGTTCCACGTCTGGGGCTGCCTTGCTCACGTTCGTGCCTCTGGCACGGACAAGCTCACTGCCCGCACTGTCCCCTGTGTCTTCCTCGGTTTCCCCCTGGACTCGTCTGACTGGCTTTTCTACCACCCGCCGTCTCACCGCTTCCTCCACTCTCGTGACGTCACCTTTGATGAGTCCGTCTCCTTCTACCGCCGCTTCCCTCACCGAGGTCTCCCAGTTGCCCCCCCCCTTTTCATTGCTCCCTCTCCCCCGGTAGCCCCTGCCCCTCTCCCGCCTCGTCCTGCCCCGTCGGGTGTCTCCCACGTCACTCCCCTCCCGTCGGTTGTCCCCGTTGAGGAGTCTGCTGACTCTGGTGGTACCCCCGGTCCGTCCTTGCCGCGTCCCCCTTCCCCGGTGCCTCCGCCCCCACTGTCGCAGTCGCCGACCCCGCTGCCGCCGCCGTCGCCGTCGCCGCCGCAGCCGTCGCCGCTTTCGTCGCCGCCGCCGCCGCTGTCGCTGCCGCAGCCGTCGCCGCTGTCGCCGCCGCCGCAGCCGTTGCCGCCACTGCCGCCGCTGCTCTCGGCCCCTGGGGGTGCTGGTGTGGAGGAGGGTGTTCGTCCTGCGGCTTCTGGGGGTGCCGCTGGTGTTGGAGGGGGTTCTCGCTCTGGGGGTGTTGGTTCTGGGGGTGCTGCTGTTGAGTGTTCTGCCGACGGTCGTTCTGCCTCTGCTGGTCCGAGAGTTCCGGCCCAGCCGTCGTCGCCGCCGCAGCAGCCGTCGCCGCCGGTTTCCGCTCTCCGCCTGCTCGGCCTTCCCTCCCCGGACCGCGCGCCGGTGTCTCCCCCACCGCCTCCTGACCTCCCTGTCTACGGTCCTGTGTTCCCGCCGCCAGACTCGTCTCCGGCCCGTCTTCCTCCTCGTTCCCCTCCTGTGTCTCCTCCGCTGTCCCCTGACCCTACCCCTCCGTCTCACGTTTGTGCTCGCCGTCCCTCCCGTGCTCGTCCCGTCTCTCCTGTCCTGCCCACCCACCCTATGTTGCTCCGTTCCCACTCGTCTCGTCCTCCCCTCCTCCCGTCCCCTCCTCCCTCGTCCCTTGCTGTTGCACCTGATCCGTTCTCTGACTACCTCCGTGCTGCTCGTCCCCTTGTCCCTCGGGTCCTTGCCTCTCTTGTTACCGACCCTGCTGTTCCTGTCTCGCGCCTTGACGCGCTTGTCGCTGCTGTCGCTGACTTCGCTTCTACCCGCCGCCTTGACTACGCTACCGCTCTGGTCTCTGACCCTGCCCGTCCTCTGTCCGTCGGGGGTGCTCCTGCCCTTGGCAGTGACGTCCTAGAGGACAGGCAGTACG